GGCCAGCCTATATCCCCTGTACCTACTACAGTGACTGGCTCATAAAGGGCCCCCAGTGAATACTGGTGAATGGTTGGCTGGCTGGCTGGCTGGCTGGCTGGTTGTTTGGTTGGCTGGATGGCTGGTTGGTTGGGTGGTTGGCTGGATGGCTGGTTGGTTGGTTGGCTGGCTGGTTGGTTGGTTGGTTGGTTGCTGGTTGGTTGGTTGGTTGGTTGGTTGGTTGTATGCTGGTTTTTACCAGATGCTAACATTACCATATACATCAGAGTGGCCACAGATACACATGAATGCATTAAGCAAGGGCACAGCTTGTTGCTCTGGCCTTTCGTTTAAAGGCCCTTAGAGAAAGACAGCACCTAACTGCCCTTAGTTACTTGTCTAATACTGGTCAACTTTACCCAAGTTACCCCTAAAATGTAACCTAAATCTGTGCTTTGGTTTAAAATAACCTTTACCTGTTGTGGCTGCAGCAGAGAGAAGATAGCTGACCAGCTGTAACTAAAACCTCCTATATAAATTAGTATTTTACTATTAATGCTAATACCTAGTGAGTGCTTACTCAGCATCAGATGTTGTGCTAAGTGCTTTACACATGTTGCTAGGTTATCTAATCCTCACCTCAACTCTGGGAAAGGTGCTGCTGTTATTCCCATTTTATTGATGGGGAAACTGAGACTTAGATATTTTAAGTAACTTGCTCAAGGTCTCACAATTAGTAAGTGGTAAAACTAGGATCTGAATCCAGAAATATAACTTTAATCTTCATACTTGGGCCACTACCCTTTCAGTGCCCAAATATAACTTCATTCTCATCCTTCTAGATCCTACTCAAAGTTCTCCATCCCATCCGAGTATCTCAGAATATTAAAATTGGATGACACCTGAGTGTTCACCTAGTCTAAACTCTTCAAATGAATTCACCAAATTCCTTTGAATTCTTCAAAAATGAGGACAGAGATCCAGAGAGGCAAACTGTTTTTCCCAAGGTCACTCAGCGAGTGAGGGCTTTCCCTGAATGTTCCCCTTTCTCATTCAGTGATAGAAGACTTCCAGGCTTGGGCCATTCCAAGACTGCCTTCTCTGGGTCCTGAATTCCTTCATCTTTGGCCAATCCCACTCCACCCTCATCTTCAGCCTCTCCCCCTGCCCCATCCCCAGGAGAGGGTACCCACAGGCTCCTGCTTCCTCGCATACTTTCCACACTTCCCACGTGCCTCAGCTTTGCCGCAGATCCACATCTCATGACATAGTAGTTTCCTCTGCTGGGCAGCCCAGCAGACCTCCAGCCCTGGGGCTTCTGTGGCCAGGACTCGTCACTTTCTGGCCTCAGTCCTGAATCCCAGCTTCATGTGCACCATCTCCACCCAGCTTTGCACCAAATAAACCAAAATACAAACCCACCTCTGCCCCAATATAAAGCTTCTCTTCTCACTTTTCCTCATATCAGTCATACCTGGGCTCCAGCAAGTTACCTCATCTTTTAAAAATGTCATCATACACTCTGCCCTCCTGGCCTGTCCCTCCTGCTGAGGAGGGGGCAGAGGAGCAGCCGCTGGTGTGTCTGCCAGAGGCCAAGGCTGTGCCCTGGCTGCTGCGACTGTGGTGTCCTAGCCTGCTTAGGCTGCGAGAACGAATGCCATAGACTGGATGGCTTAAACAACAGACATTTATTCTCCCAGTTCTAGAGGCTGGACATCTGGGATCAGGCTGCCAATGATGGTTGGGGGCCTGGGGAGGGCTCTCTTCCTGGCTTGTAGACTTGCTGTGTGCTCATGGAGAGAGAGAGAAATCTCTCTCTATTCTTCTTCTTATAAAGGCACTAATCCCATCACAAGGGTCCCACCCTCATGACCTAATCTAATTACCTCCCAAAGGCCCCATCTCCAAATACCATCACACTGGGGGTTAGGGCTTCAACAAGTGAATTTGGGAGGGCACACAAACATTCAGCCCATAACATACGGGTATTCTGACATCTTGACAAAATTGACCTCTTGACCTCTGGACTAAAGGGACACCCCATCTATCCCAGACCTGACTCAGCACCAGACAGGGTTTGGTGGGCAGGGAGGTCCCCAGTGACTTCTGCCCATTCAGACTGAATGAACTTTTCACCAGGGAATAGTAACCCAACACTTGCCCCCTAGGGAGATTATTCCTGTCCTCAGAGACCATGCTCCCTCCTGTTTCCCTCTGGACCATTTATAGGGAATCAAACCAATAGCCTATTGATTTCCATACATTCATCCTTGTAAGAGATATTTCTGAAACACCTACTGCATGCCAGGCACAGTGCTGCTGCTAGAGACCCAGTGCCTACTCTCACACACACCCATCCATCGAGGAGACGGACATAGAACAAATAAGCACATTAGTGGATACCGAATCACAGCAGGAGAAAAGAGCGCAGAAGGAGAGCAGCTTAGTCCTAGGGGAACATTTCACAAAGAACCTGGACTAGACCAGCATGGGGAGGGAGTCTGGCCCAAGAAGTCTTCCCTCCCCTTATCCTGTGCTGGACAGAGCTCATGCTCTCCCCCTCGCCCTGTTACTCTTCTTCACACACCCTTTCAAAGTTCAGCCCCAAGTTTCATGGCCCATACAGGAAACATAAGTGAAATCAATCATCTCACTCTCTTTCTCAAAACCCCCTGTGGTTCCTTAGCACACTTGGTACAAAGTCCAAGGTCCTCCCCACAGGCTGTAAGCCCCTGCTCCCTGCTCCCTGTTTCCTGAAGGCTCTGGTCTCCCACCAGCCCCACCTCAGATCTGCACCCGCCACTGTGCTGGTCTTTGAGCAGGTCAGACACATGCCCGTCTCAGGGCCTCAGCCTCTCTCTGCAGGACCTCTTGACCCACAGACATCCGCAAGCTGCTCTCCTTCCTTTCTTTTAGATTTCTGCTCAAACACATCCCTCAATTATCATATTTAAACCAGTATCCCTGTGCTTCCCTCTGCCCTTTATTTCCTTGCTTTAGCTTTCTTCATATCACATATCATTACCTACCATGTATCATATGATATATCTTTATGCTAATACCTAGTGATTTGTCTGTTGGTTCATTTTCTATCCCCTCCCCAATAGAACGCAAGCCCCAAGAGGACAGGGACTTCACGTCTTTGGTCTCTTGCTATTATAGATGCTCAGTAAATATTTGTTAAATAAATGAATAAATGAACAAATAGGGGACATTTAATAAATTATTGATGAACAAATGAACAGAGCAGGGGTTCTCAGAGGTCTAAATGGGGACTGTCGGAACAGCAGGGATGAGGAAGGATCAAGTTTTGTGAAAGAAAAAAAGTACACAGACACTGTTAAGAACTGTTCAAGGGTATTTTTAATAACTCTTGCTTTCTTCAGGCAAGGCAAACTTCAGTGAGGAGAAGGGAAAGTCTTCTTGGGGACATTGCTGGGAAGAGTCCATCAGAGCTTCTACTCTTGGTGGATAGCCTCATGGGCAGTCTTCAGCACCCTGGACACCAGGACTACGAATTCCTCAAAGGTGACCTGTGCATCTTTATCAGCATCCAGCTCTTGGAATACTTTGTCAATGGAAGCTTGGTCTTTGGTGTTCTTGGAGAAGGGAAAGCAGGGAGAGTGAGCTCCCCTTTATCCAGGCCTCGAATCCCTCAGAACTCAGCTTATGGAGGCCCGGGAACACCAACTGATTAGCCAAAACTATGTGGGAGAATCCAATGTGAGAAAACAGAAGACAGAGAGAAGCAGCTGTCTTGGGCCATCCTAGAATCAAGTCTTAACCTGGAAGATGCTGTGTAGCTCAGCAATCCAGTCCCACCCTGCCTTGCCTCTCTCCACTCTACAGAGACAGGAAGGAGCAAAGCCTAAGGTGATGGAGTTATTCAGAGAGGGAGGCAGAGCCCCTGTCCCACAGCTGGTGGGGGGGTGGGGGGAGACATCCTTGGAAGCTCAAACTGGGACGAACCCACCCCTTGCCCCACCATCATCCTTCAGGCCTTGCCACTGCCCTCAGTGCAGTGGGTCAGGCAACTTTTCCAAGAGAGGGGCATCACGTACCTTGAGGGCATTTGGAAGTTCCTTTGTGATCAGCTTCTTCAGCTCATTCTTGTTGAGGGTGTCATAATTCCCCAGCCGAATGGAGTAATGGTGGAAGATGTTGATGATTCCCTCCAGGTGGTCTTCCAGCTTCGTCATCTCCCTAACTTTGCATTCAACTTCAAAGAGACAAGGGAGGTCTTGTCAAGGGGCAGTTCCTCCCCCACCCCACAGCACTTCCACTCTCTCCTCTCTTTCCGTATCAAAGGTTTAGACAAGGGATGACTACCCCTGGGTCTGCTCTGCGTTCTCTCTGCTCTGTGTTTGATCCACGGTGAATGTTCTCATTTGCGGATAGAATGGGGGGAGAAGGACATAGAATACTGCCTAAAGTCTAAAAGAATCAGCCTTAACTGTCACGGTGTTCCATGTCCACCCGTCTCCTGGGGACTATAGTCCAGAGGGTGTTAATCACTCAAGCTCACCTGGGAAGGGTGCTGTGGTTGTTCCCTTTCCCCCAAGTGTTGGTACTTTAGGGCCCTTAGAGATGCCAGCCACCCCACCCACCTTGGCCATCCCCAAGTCCTGAGACTGGGTCTTCCTAGCACAGCAAGAGCTGGCATCCTTGGGCCCCAAATGCAGTCAGCCCAGAGCGGCTCCAGCAGGCAGGGGGTTGTAGCTTCCAACAGCCTGCCAAGTGGCCCCCTGAAGGCCCAACCAAGGAAAGGACACTTACCCCTCAATGCACAGAAGTGTGGAGGCAGCAGCACTGGTGAGGAGCCCTGAGCCAGGGAGGTTTTTATAAGGCAGGTGTCACCTTTGACCTCGAGTGAAGAAACTTCTCTCATTCACCATGGGGCATGTTTCTCTGTTGCTCAAGAGAAGCTTCAAACATGTGGCACTGACTGCAAAATGGGCAGCTCAGATTGCAAGAGAACAAGTTTCACTCTAGGCATGGCTCCTACCCGGAAAGGGAAGGGCTGGGGAGAGGCATTTGCTGAGTGTCTATGCAACAAAAGTGATAGTGATAATAAAAACAATCAAAGTAGACATGTAATCTGGGAACAGAAAAAAGACATTGGTTTAAAACTAAAGAAATCTGAATATACAGTATGGAACTTAGCTGATAATAATGTGTCAAGAGCAGTTGATTAATTGTAACAAATGTACCACACTATGTAAGATGTCAACAATAGGGGAGACTGTGTGCAGAAATACTGGAACTCTCTATATTATTTTCTCAATTTTTCCATAAATCTAAAAATGTTCTGAACTAAAGTCTAAGTGTTTGTTTGTTTGTTTGTTGGCCGCGCAGTGCAGCTTCCAGGATCTTAGTTTCCTGACCAGGGACTGAACCCAGTCCACAGCAGTGAAAGCACCTAGTCCTAACCACTGGACCACCAGGGAATTCCCTAAGTGTTTTTAAAAGTGACCATGTATTGGGCACTCACATCATGCCAGACACTGCCTTACACAAACCCTCACCTAATTCTCCAAACAGCCATCACTCCAACAGCGCTAACGGTTTCCCCATTTTGCAGATGAAGAAAATGAGTTTGGAGAGGTTAAGGAACTTTTCTAAGTGCCACATCCAAAATTGTCTACTTTCAAAACATTTGCCATTTTGTAATTTTTCCCTAAAATGAGAATAGTTTTTTGTTATCAAAAATAATGCATGCTTGGGGCTTCCCTGGTGGCGCAGTAGTTAAGAATCCACCTGCCAATGCAGGGGACACGAGTTTGAGCCCTGGTCCGGGAAGATCCCACATGCCGTGGAGCAACGAAGCCCGTGCGCCACAACTACTGAGCCTGCGCTCTAGAGCCCACAAGACACAACTGTTGAGCCCACGTGCCACAACTACTGAAGCCCGTGTGCCTATGGCCCATGCTCCACAACAAGAGAAGCCACCACAATGAGAAGAAGCCCGCGCATCACAACAAAAAGTAGCCCCCGCTGGCCGCAACTAGAGAAAGCCCGCGCACAACAACGAAGACCCAATACAGCCATAAATAAAATAAATAAATAAATTTATTTTTTAAATAATAATAATACTACATGCTCATACTTTTTTTAGAAAACCTAATTTTTGGTAAATGACACAATCTTATATCAGACCCTGACCTTTTTCTTCCAGTTTGTGTCCTAATGCCATCAATTCTTGATTAGCCTTTTTAAAAATTCTTTCTTCCACGCTCCCCCACACCCTCCAACTCACTGTGTGAGACTCAGGGACAGAGCAGCACAAATTCCGTGGCTGCTCTCCCAGAGTTTGCAATCTAATGGGTTCAGACACCTTCCTGAATCATAGGAAGAGTTCACCGCACGTAATGGGGGTGGGGGGTTGCTGGGCGCTAGTCAGGCCGAGACTAGCGACCTGGATTCCACACTGGCAGGGGGACTTGGGAGAACCAGGGCTGCCTGGCAGGCCACAGTGGGAAGGGTGCCAGGGACCAGCCTGTGCCCTTGGGCAAGACTTCGACCTCTATGAGCCTGTTTCTTCATTTGTGTTGTCACCTCACCGGACTCCTTTAGTTCCTAGATTTGTTATCAGGCTCAGCTGACAGAATATATGAGAAAAGGCTTGAAAACAGTAAAGTGCCATCTTTAAGTTGGTTTTTCTTTTGCCCTTACCCACCCAGCATGGATGTGTGGATCATTTAGCTCAGACAGCATGAACATGAGCCCAGAGCCAGCTCTCCGGGGCCTGGCCACTGAATACTGGGGGTCTCCTAGCAGAACAAAGAGACCTGCCTCTTCTGTGTCTTGAAG